CGCGCATCCTCCGGCAGAGTAGTCATGACAATTTCCAGCAGTAAACTGTTGGGCGTCTCGCCAGCATCGTTAGTGATAGCATAAGTTTCGCCCTCATTAAGACAGCAAATAATAAGTAATAATTGTGTGCCACTGATGGTGTTTCTCAAAGACGATGCTGATTTCAATTTCGGTGAAACATCTGAGCATGTGCCAAGTGTACGATCAAATGCTGGTACTTTCACGATTTCTCGGACAGAGGAAGCAGGATTCTGGCTGTGTTCCACAAGGTCCCTTTGTGACTCCGACCCAGTCGTGAAAATTGGGTGAAATGAACACTAAAAATATTTCTTCTCTCTGGAAAGTGACATCAGACAATCATCCACTGTCACCGGAGGCTGTGTCCCCGTGGCAACTGGCTGTCACTCGATGCGAAAGACTGGAGCGCGAATCCCGTTGCGGGATGAAGTCGAGGCTGCAGTTGAGAGCGAATGAGAAGACCATTTTACGATGGGAAATTGTCAAATTTGGCTCACTATTGGTCCATTGGTGGCAGCCAATTAAAGGTGGTATCATCTCACCAACAAGCCGACAGGATTTGAGCTCAAAGCCTGTTGAAAGTTCGATGTGACGACAACCAACAATCCGCCTTCTAGTGGCCTTGAAAGGTATAAAGTTTATAGTAATGCCGTCTTTTCCGACTTCACGGCGAATTGCACTCTTCGATTTTCAGTCAAGCCCAACCCTAATCTTGAGAACAACTGAAACCCCAGCCCCAATCAAACCTATAGCAAATAGTTCCATTTGCTTTTACTCCTATTCAAAAGGAAAGTTTGTAATCGCAGGTATGAAGACCAAGATGGTGTGGCCTTTTGTATGGTGGCAGTCTCCTTTCGTTGTAAACAAGTTGTTTGACTTGATTTCGCAACATGTCTGCATGACCATTTCCAAATGTACCACGTCCACTTTGGAGAGTTTGTAATTTCGACTTGGTACTGTTTAACGGACCGAGACAGACTGCGAATACAAAGTTAAGCAGACGCTATACAGAAGTTGTTTGACCTTGTTTTCGCAAATTGGTCATTTTGGTAGGACGACTTAGAGCAACGCACCTAGTCCGGAGTCCATTGTTTGCATGATCATTTCCAGAGTAGGACCATGGACTTAGTACATGCCCAGAGACAAGACTTGTCTTTTTGACGAGTCGTTATATGACGCTACGAATGGAATGTACCACGTCCACGGTCCTACTCTGT